ACAAATATACAAAATAAGTACATTAGAAAGTGGTAAGTGCTAAGGAGAAAAAAGATAGCGGAGGGATATATGAAATGCTAAGATGGACAGGAAAGGACGAAGAAGAAAATGTGAGGCACGTGTGTGTCTGTGGGAAGAATAATCTAGGCAGAAGAAACACCAAAAGCAAAAGCCCTGTGTCAGGACAGCGAGTGCCCTGTCGGGGAAAAGCAAGAAGTCCAGTGTGGTTGCAAAGGAGCCAGTAAGGAAGAGAGAGATTAAGAGTTGAGTTCAGTGAGGACCCTGAAAGCCAGCTGGCACATGGTCTTGTAGTCACTGTAAGGTCTTTGCCTTTCACTGTGAAGCACGTGGGGCACTGTGGGAACAGGAATGGGCCCTGAACAGAGCAGAACCAGCAGTACCATGGGTCCTGAGTTAGGCCAGAGCCAGAGGCACCAAGCACAGACATAGTAAGTGCAGGAGGGACATCAGACTAAGGGTGCTGAAGGAACTGAAAGAGTAATAGGTTACGGGAAAATTGGGGGGAAGGGTTTTCAGGAACACGTATAAAGGACACATGGACAAAACCAAAGGGAGTAGGATCAAGGGTGGGAAGTGGGGACGGCTGGAGTGGGGAGACTGGTGGTGGTGGGGGAATGGAGACAACTGTACTTGAACAACAATAAAAATGAGAAAAAAAAATTTAAAAATATTTTTTTAAAAAAGAGCAATACGTTAATAGAGAATAGAGATGAGGCAGAGAATGAAACCCACTTCAACAGAAGGAAAACATAAGAACAGAAAAGATTTTTGCCTCCTTCCTGAATAAAATACTAAACATAATCTCGGGACCAATGGACAGGGACTGGAAAACCATGTGATGATACAGTTATCAACTTCTCATTTGCATTGGCAGTAACTTCAATGGCTATAATTACAAACAGCCATTTATGAGGTTACCTTAGGAAGAGATTTTGGTTTTCAAGGCTGATATCATAGATAGAGACTTGCTTTTTAAAGATTATTTCATCTGCAGGAACATTACTTATTGCCAAGCACCCATCTGTTTTGCATTTTAGTACTGACTTTTTTATCCTCACACTCATTTCATTGAGAAGTTTCTGGAGCATTGTATTGAAGACAGCAGTAGTGGTTGTTATTTTGGTACAAGTACATGATATGCTAGGAAAGCTGAATTTATTTCTATTTCTCTTTTGAAGAGCAATTAATCAGTGCAATCCCCTCAGTCTTCTAAGCCATTGTAAAAACAAAGATTGTAAAAACTACCATTTTCTCCCAGTTATGGCTTTTTAAGTAAACTTATTGCCATCTTTATTTTTTATGTGAGTAGCTGGCATACAAAATTATATTAGTTTCAGGTGTACAACATAGTGATTTGACATTTATATTCCTTACGATGTGACCACCACACTAAATCTCGTCACCATCTGTTCGCCATGCAAAGTTACTACAACATTGTGGATTACATCCCCCTTCACCTTTACACCCATGTCCTAAACCCCTCCCCTCTGGCAAACCAGCAGTTTGCTCTCTGTTTTAGACCTTTTTTTGCTTATAATTTTTTTCACCACCTACCTCTTTGTCTTCTGCAGCCTGACTTCTGCTCTCACTATTTCACCAAACCTGCTCTCATCAAACCTTTCTTCCTTACTTGGATCCTTCTAGAATACATCACTACCTTTGACATTTATGGCCACACTCTCATACTTCAGTGGCACTCAAAGCTCATGACGACACCCACTCATAGTCTGAGAAGAAAGGGCACCTACTGAAAATGAAGAGCGGGAGGGGGGAATACATATGAATGAACTTAGCTGCAAGTACTCAGAAGCATAGCTGAGTCACAGATGGGGCTCAGTTGGGAAGAAATTTTAAGTCCAAGAGCCTTAGAAGTCGTCTAGGCCAATACCCTCATTTTATAGATGACATAATGAGGTACAGAACACGTGTCGGGTAGGATGCCTTTGGTTACAAGTAATAGAAAACAGCAGTTCAATTTGGCTTAAACAATAAGGAAGTATATTACGTGATAGGAGGTCCAGACACAGTACCCCACTGTGGCTCTTCTACATGGCTCCCTTGGCCACCCCACCTTCCAAGTGTTAGCTCCCACTTCCAGATGTAGGCCAGAGAGCCACGGCAGCTGCAGGGCTCACGTCGGAGTCCTGGCAGCTGACAGGGGAGACTATGGGTAAGCAGAAAGTGTGTCTTTTCAGAAACAAAGAAACCTGATCAAGAAGCCCCAAGAAGACTCTGTCTTGTCACCTCCCTATGTCTGAAGCAATCACTGGCAAGGGAAATGGATTCCAAGGCTAGGTTAGTTTAAGCCCGGGACTAAGCTGGGGTAAAATGAATCCTGAGGAGGAAGGTTATTTAATAGGCAATAATCAAAATGTCACTTGTAGATCTTGATTATCAATATCTTGACTCTCCTATTTGTCCTACTTATACTTCTCAGAATTCACTTGCTTTTTCTGCTCATTAAAAATGGATTCTACTCTTCTCTCTTTTTGTAAACTTCTCTGGGGAGGGCACGTGTTCTTTTTGTAATTGTTTTAGACGTCTGTGGAAGTGACACAGGGTAATGGTAAGCGCTGACTTTAGAGCCAGACTGCCTGGGTTGAGATACAGGCCCCACCGGCCACCTCTGCAAGTGTCGCCTGAGGCGTGTTATTTAGTCTCCTTCCTCACCTATAAAAGGGATGGTAATAGAACCAACCTCACAGAGATACTGTGCGAATTAAATAAATTACTGTGTATAAAGTGATCAGAACAATGTCTGCTACACAGTAAGTCCTCTACAAGTACGTGTTATTATCACTAAGGCGCATCTACTGGTTTTTTGCCTGCCTAGCATCCCTTCCCCCTATTTTGTCAAATGTTTGGGTTTTCATTTGAAGAACTACCCCTCCACCACGCCATACGATCTTGGCACAATTCTCAGTCAGTATGAATTGCTCCCAGCCTCCACTGTGCAAAGGGTGGGCACAGGACCCAAATCAGGCCAATCTTGCCTTTACCATGGGCCCTGGGTCTTAAGGAAAATGTCTCAGATAGAAAATAGTTCAAATTCAGTCTCTCTGGTGTCATGGCCTTGAACAGGCTTTTCTCAAGTTTTTGCCTGGACCCCAGAACTGGTTATTCTTTCCAAAGTCTGATGAACAATTTTTCCTTTGATTCTGTTAGCTCTCCAATCTCCTTTAATAAATTCCTTTTTGCTAATATTGGCCAAAATTGATTTTTTTGTGTTTCTGTATAAACATTGTGTTGAACAAATAGGTCTCACCAAAATAAATCATGAAGTAACTGTATTTTTGTTTTTCATTGTCTCTTTCTATCTACTCAAAAGCAATTCCTCTCTGGCCTCTGCATAGAAGTTAAAACAGGGTTTTGAAGTCAAACATTCTGAGCCCAAATTCTGACTCCACCTCTTGCTAGCTATGTTGCTTACTGTCTCTTTGCCTCAATTTCCTTACCTGTAAAATAGGGGAATAATAACACCTACCTGATTTGGTTGCTGTTAAACTTAAATGACTTCCCAAATGTAAAATGCCTGCAAGTGTGCTTGGCACATAGTAAGTCCTAAAAAATGTTATTATTGCTGATGGCAGTGGTGGTCCAGTGAGGTCATCTCTCCTCCACATAATTCCTGACCATTCTTGCTTCCATACCTACGCTCACACTAGCCCACTCTCCTTCAAGATGGTAATTCAAACACCACCACTTCCACAAGGCCCACATAGATCTATAAAGACCACAATGACCTGATCCTTTGTAGGAATTGCATAACCTATAGCAGATATGAGACTTGATTTACATCATTTTTAATTGTATCTATGTTTAAATAATGACCACCTCAACAAAGTAGTCCTTGAAATCAAAATAAAATATTTTATGTTCATTTATGTTCTTCATAGTACTTAGTCCAGAGTAAGGTTCAAAGGAAGCCCTTAATAATTAACTTTTAAACAGCCATATGTACGTCCAATCACAATTACTTCCGGGTTTGTAATGCTGCAAGCCCTTAGGCCTATGTTTTAGTATATATACTGCTGACGCAATGTCATGCCCCATCTTTTTACTGTGTGTATAAGCTCACAAAAAAGACAGGCTACAGAATTTTCCATTTTCTTCCCACAGTGGCTCATACACACTGGGCATCCAATAAATATTATTAACTATCTACAAAAGAGTTGAAAACTTCAGGAACTGAAAATCAATTCCAAATATGGTAAGGAATTCCAAATGTATCTGTTACTGTTAATATTTGAAACTATAGTGCTGAAAGGTCTTGTTTTGTGCAAAAACCAAAAACATAAAGATAAGGACAACAGATACTCAGACACTTTTTCCCCTTCTGATACATTTTTTTTCTCATAGAACTGTTGATGAAGGACATAGTAGAGAAGGTACCTATTGTGTGTTTTTTTAATTGTCATGTTTCTGCAGAAGTGTTCCTTTATTTCTGAAACTCTGCATAACAAAGTACACCATCTTCATTCTCTAATTTCTCTAAACGTGTGAAAAAATACATATAGAAATAAAAACTTTTCCCATTCATGCCCAGAGCATACCATTTACAGACACACGGATGGCACTGTTTTACAGTTAGGTGGGTAGCTTGTTTTAATCACGTGGAAAAGTCAACCAAAAAAGAGAAACTGAGTAAGCCTAGACTCAGTTCCATGTGAATTGAGACTTCATGCCTGTGACATGGACACGCATAATTTGACTCCACTAACCCTGGGAACCAGTTTATGTTACACCTAAATGACACCTCTATAAAATCCCACTCTTGTTGGCTTATTGCTGTTCAATAGATATGAAAACTTGGGTTAAGGAAAAAAAACATTTTTTTAATTCTAAATGCTATCCAGTGTAAATTTTCAACCAGACTAGCTCTTCATTGTTCCCCCCACCACCACCCTCAAGAACACTCTAGAAGAGAAAGAAAATGGAAGAGAGAGAAGGGTGAGAGGACAAAAATTTATATATCCTACTTAGATTGTGCGAGACAGCCTGGTGCAACCATATTCTGGTTCTCCTCTTCGTTCTGCAGTGAGGTGAGCTCTACCATGTTAACCATCACATCGTTGGTGTGGCCAGGAAGCTGGGGAAGCACTGAAATGATCTTCTCTACCAAGTTGTCACCATGATGTCCCACCGCTCCTGTTTCAGCAGAGAGAAATATGAATTCACAAAATGGGAGGGAGAAGAAGCTGAATTCATGTTCTATAATGGCCCTTCTGTCAAGAATAACAAATGTTTGGCAGGCTCTCTGGTGCACCCATGCCTTTCTTCCCTCTCCAGCATGCATCTTTACTTTTCTCTCCTAAACCCTAAAGGTCCACTTGAGACTTGCGACCAGGGAAGCGGCAGGCAGCAGCCACATGTTCCAGATTTACCCCCCTGAACCTGTCTCCAAGGCCCCCTTTTCTTTAACTTTCCATTAAACTAAAAGCAGCCCCACCTTGGCTCACTTCTGTACTGTGACTCAGCTACTTGTCAGTGAATTCAAGCAGTGCAGTGTGGGTCACTTCTTTCCCATAACTCTACCAGAGAGCCAAAGCAGCCCCACCTAGGCTCTCTCCTGCTGCTTCTTCTACCCTAAGCCCTTCCATTGTTTCACTGTCCCCAGCTTTAATAAACATACTGTCAAAATTAAAAAAAAGAATACCAAACATTCTTAGTTTGTTACAAAACCAATAACGCAAACCTAGAACGTTGTCCTCTGTAGCACTAGTCAAGCTCAAAGTTACCTAGTAGACCCGTGCCTTGTGTGCTGGATTAATGCTCCATGAGTATAGACACTGTGTCTGCTCTGGTTACTACTATATTCCCAGCACCTACTACAGTGCCTACTGATATGGTAGGTATGAGTACATAAATTATCTGTATATAGTCAGCTAGGTAAACAGATCCTGAAGTTTTAGAGCCAAGCTTTGTTTTACTGATGAAGATCCTAAGACAAAGAAGGGCTTACAGACCTTCTTTGATGGAGAACGTCAAATCTCCCCTCTGCTAGACCCGGATCTTCACAACGACAACTGGTTATCTCGTTTGCCCTATATCCACCACATCTGGCAGGCAACTTATCAGCTAGGAAGTTCTCAATAAATATTTGCTTAATAAAAGGAAAGAATAAATGAATGAATAGTAACAGTTTGCAATGACGGAGGTATTTATAGAGTGCTTTCTGTGTACCAGGGACTGTTCGAAGTGCTTTAGATGTATTAACTCTTTAAATTATAAATGAATTAATGAATTCACATTTAAATTCAAGACTAATGACACAGTTTAATGCTTTTCCCATAAAATCAGGTTGTCCTTCCAAAAGCTATCATTGCTTGGAAGACCTCATTCCAAAAATGGGTGGGACTGGGCACATTTACTTGTTTTGATCCCACCCACTTCAAATCAATTAACATTTGCTTCCGAATGTCTCTCTAGCTCTCTCCGTGTTGCTTTTTGCCATGTCACATTATTTGGACAGAAGAACTAGGTAGGAAAAAACCAAACCAGGAATTCAAGGAATCATCAACATGACTATCATCATCTTTATCACAATAGCTAATATTAACTAAGAGCCTATGATGTACCAGCTATTAAGCTCCATACATTTATTATCCACTTAATTCTTACAATTGTAATAGGTAGGTATCATTATGTTTGTTTACAGAGTAGAAGTTTCAGTTTAAGTAACTTGCTCAAGATTATACAACTTGTATATCACCACACAAGAATTCAAATTCAGGAGGCAGATAATTCCAAAAATGATACTCTTTATATTTTAAAAATCAGGCTCATAAAACTGACTTAAGACAGAGTCAGCATGAGTGCTTTTAAGGCAACTATTGATGTTAAATAAGAGTTTTCACACCGGTGAACTATTCATTGATTAGGGCTGGAAGAGACCACATCTACTTCTGGCCAAGATGGAGGCCTAGGTAGACACACTGTGCCTCCTCGTACAACCAAAAGAAGGACAACAACAATTTAAAAACAAAAAATAACCAGAATCAACAGAAAATCGAACTGTATGAAAATCCAATAACCAAGGAGTTAAAGAAGAAACATTCATCCAGACTGGAAGGAGGGGCAGACATGGGCAGCTGGATGGAGAGGACTCATGGCAAGGCTGCAGCTGGAGGACAGGGGCGGGCAAGGTGACCACTGGCGGACCCAGTGAAGCAGCAGCTGGTGGAGCAGGTGGTCCCACATTCGAGTGCAGATAGACCAGAAGGAACAACTGCGGAGCAAGAAAATACCGAGTGTCCCAGGGCTCCAGTGTGGGGAAATAAAGTCGGCCTCTGATTGAAAACACCGGTGGGGATTGAGGTGCCAGAAAAGACTCCCAGCTTCACAGGAGAGTTTGTTGGAAAGACCCACAGGGTCCTAGAACATACACAAACCCACCCACCCAGGAATCAACACCAGAAAGGCCCAGTTTGCTTGTAGGTAGTTGGGGAAGTGCCTGAAAACTGCCAGAGAGCAGACAAGTGCCATTGTTCCCTCTCGGACCCCTTCCCCATAGACAGTATCACAACACAGCGATGTGGGTTGCTCCACCCTGATGAACACCTAAGGCTCCACCCCTCATACATAACAGGCACAACAAGACAAAAAAAATGGCCCAAATGAAAGAATAGATCAAAGCTCCAGAAAAAATACAACTAAGCAACAAAGAGACAGCCAACCTGTCAGGTGCACAGTTCATAACACTGGTAATCAGGATGCTCACAGAATTGGTTGAATATAGTCGCAAATTAAATGAAAAATGAAGGCTACACTAAGTGAAATAAAGGAAAATGTACAGGGAACCAACAGTGATGGGAAGAAAACTGGAACTCAAATCAATGGAGTGGACAGAAGAAAGAAAGAAACATTCAACCAGAAAAGAAGAAACAATAATTCAAAAAAATGAAAGGCTTAGGAACCTCCAGAACATCTTTAAATGTTCCAACATCCGAATCATAGGGGTACCAGAAGAAGAAGAAGAGCAAAAAATTGAAAACTTACTTGAAAAAATAATGAAGGAGAATGTCCCCAATCTGGCAAAGGAAATAGACTTCCAGGAAATCCAGGAAGCTCAGAGAGTCCCAAAGAAGTTGGACCCAAGAAGGAAAACACCAAGGCATGTCATAATTACATTATCCAAGATTAAAGATAAGGAGAGAGTCTTAAAAGCTGCAAGAGAAAAGGAGAGTTACCTATAAAGGAGTTCCCATAAGACTGTCAGCTGATTTCTCAAAAGAGACGTTTCAGGCAAGAAGGGGCTGGAAAGATGTATTCCAAGTCACGAAAGGCAAGGACCTACATCCAAGATTGCTCTATCCAGCAAAGCTTTCATTTAGAATGGAAGGGCAGATAAATTGCTTCCCAGATCAGATCAAATTAAAGGAGTTCATCATCACCAACCCCCTATTATATGTAATGTTAAAAGGATTTATCTAAGAAAAAGAAGATTAAAAATATGAACAGTAAAGTGACAGCAAACTCACAGTTATTAACAACCACGCCTAAAACGAAAACAAAAACAAACTACATAAGCAAACACGTAGAAAAGGAACAGAATCACAGAAATGGAGATCATATGGAGGGTTAGTAGCAAGGGAGTGGAAGGGGGAGGGAGGAGTTAGAGAGAATAAGTAGCATAAATGGTAGGTAGAAAATAGACAGAGGAGGTTAAGAATAGTATAGAAAATGTAGAAGCCAAAGAACTTTTATGTAAGCCACATGGACATGAACTAAAGGGGGGAATGTGGGTAGGAGGGGATGTGCAGGGTAGGGGGAATAAAGGGAAGAAAATAGGGCAACTGTAATAGCATAGTCAATAATATATGTGTGTATGTGTAAAAGAAAGCCAGTCTTATACAGATATGTAATTGGATAAGGGAATATTATTTTAATAAAGCCTTCTCATAAAATTTTTTTAAAAGAAAGAAACCACACTTTATTTATGTTGTCTGCAGGTCATGGATGTCTCCCCGTCACTCAGACTACAAGCTTCTCATTAAATACTTGCTGAATGAAAGCCTAGTGACTATAAGTGGCCTGGAGATCCAGAGGTGGATCAAAAGTCTCTAAGTGAAATATACCTTTAAACTAAGCCTGGAATAAAGTAAGTACATTATCAATACTCACTTAAACCCAAAATTCAGCTAATTCTCTGTGATAATTTCATGTTTTGTTGTACAATTTCCTTCCACTAGGTCAGTCATCTGTTAACAAATTAGAGCCCTCTTATGAAGAATTGCTAAGAAAACTGGCATCTGCAGATTTCCGAAAGGTTCCCAGGTAGACAGTTCATCATAATTACACTTTTTCAATATCTTGTGTCAGGCGCAGTTGTTTTTTAACAAGGCAGTGCACATTTAAGTTGTATTTACCCTTTACAACAGCTATTTTCAAACTTTTTCATCTATGGCACGTGTAAACCTATTACTAAAATTCTGCAGCACACTAAAAATTATATTCTTGTGGATCTGACAGAATGGGTGTAATTCTGATCATTCGCATCAAACCACTATTGTTGTGTTGGCCGTTGTCATTGTTTAATTTGACAATCTAATGAACAGTGCCCCTGACTAGTCAGGTATTGCAGGTTTTTTAAATTCTTGTGGCATATTAATATGCCTCTTGCGACACACCAGTGTGCCACAGCACAACGGTTGACAATCACTGCATTACGGAATTTAACAAATTCATTGGAATTGCTAATTTGCTTGTCTGTATCTCCCTCGAACCGTGAGATCAGAGAGTATGTCCATCTAGTTCATCTTTGTATCTTCTACCTGACATACAGTAAGGGGTCAATAAAAGATATGCTGAATCAGTAAAAGTCCCAGAGCCTTGGAGAGTGGTTATGAACACCTGCACAGCAATCCCATTTACCTGCGAGATCCAGAGTTCTGTCCACAAAGACCACTGAGGCCCTGCCTGCAGAAGTCTTCCTCCTGTTCTTGGCAGGAGCATAATTGGCCAGATCTGCAGCAATGATCCGACTGAAAGGACCTACAGCAAAACACTCCTCCCGTACTCCTAAATGCTCACACAGAGAACTGAGACCTGACACCAAGCACCTGATCTGCAGTAGCAGTTCTGGGGGTAGCACAGAGGCATCCACTTCACCCAGGCTCCCCAGTTTTCTCTTGTCCAGTCGGGCACTATTAAGAAGATGCACATCCTGGGGTAGCAGTGGGAAAAGGGAAGCGAAGGCTGGAGTCAAGGCAAGGTGGGGAGCAGCAGGGGCTAGCAACAACGGGATGTGCAGCACCTCGGCGGTGTAGTTCATGTTGCCCATCCACTCACACAGCTTCTCCTCCAATTGTTCGAACACCGGCTGCTGCCCCTCCAGCTCAGCAGCTGCCGCTGCTGACACATGATTAGCCGTGAGGTGGACAGCATGGTTCACGGCTGTGACCACCACACAATACTGGAAGTGACTGCGGCATATGATGTTCCGTAGAATCTCCACGGTTCGGCCTTTCAGTAGCGAGCTCAGCACAAACACCGCCTTGGGCTGCTTAGCTCCTCCACCAACTGCTGCGGGCTCGAACTCCCGCAGGTGACACGCAGGACCCCCCACCGCCTCCAAGAGTCGGGTGGATCCGCAGCCCCAGTGCAGGCTTTCGGCGCAGGCGGCGTCCAGGTAGACCAGAGCCCGTTTCACTTTGGTAAGCACCTGGTCCCAGCCCTGCTGGGTAAAAGACTGTACGCCCGGGGCGCTCATAGTTGGGGATTCGCAGGTTCAAGCACTGAAGTTGCAAGAACTTTGCTCAGAACACACAGCTTCCGGGAAATGGGCTTGCTGAGACTTTGACAGTCTACTCTGTACACGCCGCCGCGTCGCGTCTTACCGTCCCACGGCTGCGCACGGTGATGACGTTAATGGAGCGTGATTGGCTTGCTGAGATCCTCTGGCTGTCGGAAGTATGCGCAGCGCTGAGAAAAGGTAGGCGGGGCTCCGGGGCCGTGGAATTCCTCGAAAGTTCAGAAAGACTGAAAGAGGCTTCGTAGCAGTAGCTGAACTGTCGTCTCTCCCTGTCTGATCAGATAACTTTTCCATGCTCCTGGGAAGACAAAGTTAGATACTTCCTTAGATAAATATGAACACACCTCTAAACGTACAGCCACTTTCTCCATCTAAACTCAGATAAAGATATCCTAAGATAAAACAAGCAATTATAGTGTTTCGTAGTCTACAGGTTTTTGTTGTCAAATATGCTATTGCACACAGGTCTCATAGCTAACCTACTGGTCTCGTTTTCACTTTCTCCGTCTTCCCTTCCTCATCGCATTATCAGTAAACCCTAGTCTACTTCAAAAATCTTAGAATCCGGACCCTTCTCCTCATCTTTACTTTCACTGTCTTAATCCACCATCATCAACTCGCCTGGGCAATTGCAGTGATCCCTCCTCATTTCCCAGCTTTTCATCGTCTCTTCTTGAAACTCAGTTGTTTTCATAATAAGCTAAACTGGTCCTACCCTATTCCCGCTTAAAAGCCTCTTCTGGCCCAAATGCCTACAAGATACATACAGCCAGACTCCTTGAAATGACACCCAAATTCTTCATGATTTCCCGGTTCTCTCCGGCTACTTCCAGCCTGGAGCATTATATACTTACCTACACAAGGTAGTCAACAGATCGACCCCAGAAAATTTCATGGGCTCAATTCATCAAATTAGTATTTATTAAGCACTCATCAAGCATTATCATTGTACTAGATTCCAAGGACACAATAATTAGTAAAATACATTCCCTGATCCACAAAGAATTTATGTTTGGCAAACTCCTAATTATAAAGGTAACATTATAATACCTTTCATGTGAGTATATTCCTAAGTCACCATTACTATCATCTAACTATCCTCCAAATTAGCCCCCCAACACAAAACATTCAGTTGATACCTCTGCTAAGTGCTTCTTATATCATGTGGTGAGTTTCAACATATCTGTTTTAACATATTTAGCTGGTCAATTGTGCACTAGAAGCCTGGTATCCCCAACACTAGAATGTAACAAGTGTTCAATAAATGTGTGTTGAATACTGTTCAATTTATATTCATATAATAAGTAATACAATCAACCAACTTTTAATGGATTTGCACAATATTCCAGACACTGTGTTGGACATCGATGTTATAAAAAGAAATAAGCCTCAGCCTTGCCTTCAAAAGAATCTGATTTAAAAGAGCCCATTCATGTAAAGCAAGTAAAATAAAATGTTACAGAAATGATTAGTTTTTTTAATGTGTGAGAATTACAAAGGAGGAAAAATAAACTCTGACTTGGTGGAGTAAAAAGGGAAGTGCTCTGAAATTTCATACAGGAAATGAGTTTTGAGTTGCATTCACAGAAAACCAGGTGTTCACCAGGTGGACAGAATGGGGAGGAGCATTCCTGGCAGTCCAGGCAGAAAGTGTAGCATGACAAAGTAAGTCATGAAACCGTGCATGTTCTTTGGGACCACAGATAGTTCAGTATAGCTGGAGTGTGTCATATAGAGGGAGACTTAAAAAGAAATAGGAGCTAGCAACTAGAAAAGAAGGGACTAGATCAGGGTGAGTCTTATTTTTTATTCTACTTATTATCAACTGGGGCGTGACTATTAAAGTATTTTTAGGAGTGGAAATAATTTGTTCAGGTCTGGAGTTAAGAAAAATTCTAGTAAAGACATAGATAATAATTTTAAAATTCTAGTAAAGACATGGACAATCATTTAAGACATGCAGTAAGGTTTTTGAGCAGGAGGAACTGTTAGGAAACAGCAACAGCAATCAATCACCCAAGGGTAGATAAGGAACAAGTAAAGATGATACACACTGAGGGCTGTGTAAAGAAAATGCTAAAGAGAGAGGGCCAAAAACCTGGTGACTGGATTGAAAAAGAGGGTGAAGCCGAGGGAAAATTTCTGATTAATGCTCATTTAAGTGGCAATCACTGAGATTTGATAAATCAGAAGAGAAGCATTTTGGGGTATAAATGTACTGAGTTCAGTTGGGACATGTTTTAATTTATTTGTCTAATTGTGACAAAATACATGTAACATAAATTCACCATCTTACCCATTTTTAAGTGTACAATTCAATAGTGTTAAGTATTTTCACATTGCTATACAACCAATCTTCAGAACTTTCTAGCTTGTGAAACTAAAAATCTACAATCTATCCATTAACAATTGTTCCCCAACTGCACCTCCCCTGCCCCTGGCAGCTGTCATTTTATTTTATGGTTCTTTGAATTTACTAGTCTAGATACCTCACATAAATAGGATCATTCTATACTTGTCTTTCCGTGACTGGCTTATTTCACTGAGTATTATATCCTCAAGGTTCAGCCATATTGTAACATGTGTCAGAATTTCCTTCTTTCCATATCTTGCTCTCAGATGTTATGGCAGGGTCAAATTAATTACTGCTAAAATAATACGCTTAAGATAACCAGATTTACCTTATTTAAATGTGATTTGTATTTTGTTAAACATAGCCAGCATTTATTTCCCATTCCTCATAAAATCAAGCATATCTCCCTTCGCCTCATTTCTAAGTTCTCCACATGCATGATCAACTTAAGGATTCAGTAAGCACATTCTATGAAATTAACATTGTAAGACAGGATTTGCTGACTACAGGAAAAAGAAATTGTTTTCACGCTTAAGGAGTGTGCAGTTTATATAACAGTGTAGATGTAATAGGAGATAAAACGATTTTCCAGAGACAACTGGAAATATAAAATTTAGTGTCAAAATATGTAAGAGTATAGAGGAAGGTGGATAATTGGGGCTTAATTGCTCATTAAAGTATCAAGAGAAAGAAAAACTCTGAACATGTGCAGTTGTTCAGGTTGTTCAAAGGACAAAAGTATTAAAACATAGCCCACCACCTGCTTGCCACTAACTTGTCAAATGCTTTGACCTTTGAAACCTCAGTTTAATCTTTGCTATCGCCCCAAGAAGTGGGTATAAAATTTAATTTTAATATTGATTTACTGATGAGGAAAGTAAAGAACATAGAAATTTAAGCAACACATTTAAAGTTGGCAGCAAACAGCACATTTGGGCCTAAATGACGTATTCATTCAAAACACATTTATGAGGAGTTGCTATCTACTAGGTATCAAGCAAAGCACCTTTATTTTATCTTTAACTCTTATACTCTTTTCATTATTTTAATTGACTGAGCATTACCTAAGAACCAACAGATCACAAAAAATAATAAAATGGAAAACAAATATAATCAGAATATATGGAGTATTTTAGTTTGAGAAAATCATAATTTTATACAATACCTTCAAGATACCTATCTTTGAAATCTCTCTGATGACTAGGGAGATAAAGACACCTTTAACTATGGAAGTTTACCCAGACAAGGAACTAACTCAATTTGAAAGCAAGCAGGAAGAGGACTTTTAAGACTAGCTATTAGTGATTTATGGGCTTCTCTGCCTGTGGGAATCTTCCTTTCAAAGCTTAGCTCAAATGCTACTACTTCTGGGAAGGCAATTCTGATGCATCAATTATTAATCAGTAATTCTTCAGTTTAACCTAAGTAGTACGTTGAAAGTCAAGCTCATTTCAGGCAGCTGAAAGGAAAAAGAGACTCCTCAGCAGAAAGCAGTTGTTTCTTCCATGAAACAACCAGAGTTCATTATATGCTCATGGAATGATACAGAGAACTGTAAGTGATTGCCTTATGACAGTCGCAAGCAGAATGTAAAAACTTCATTCCATTACTGTCAGTAAATGCAAAGACAACCCTTACCACCACTTGATGTATTGTACACTTAGGTTTATTGGCTGTCTTCTCATTAGAATGAAAGCTTCATGAGAGGTGGACTTTGTTTTTCTCACTGCTCAATCTACATAGCGTAGAAGAGCTCCTGACACTTGGTAGACCCTACATAAATATTTTTTAAATAAAGAAAGAAATGGAATGAGATAAAAGTGGAATTCAGGGAAGATTTCACAAAGTTGATTATATCTCACTCAACAGAGTTCAGAAGGATGCAGGGATTATCCCAAACAAGTAAGGGAGGCCAGGTACAGCAGATAGATGAACATTCAAAAGTAAGGGCATTAAATCACAGGATTTGTTTAAATTACACAATATAGTGTCTTATTAGTAGGATGTAAACACTTTGTGTTTGCTTCTTTTATGGTATATCCATTTTTTCCCTTGTAGGAGAGATAGTTGTATACTACCTTTTCACGATAGAGAGCTCTTTAAAAGCAGGACCTATGTTTTAGTTACATCTTTATTTTCCAAGTTCTTAAACAGCAGGCATTCAGTAATTGTTAAATAAATAAATAAACAAACAAACAGTATTTATTGATTAGAAAGTATGGACAAATTGATTGATATTCAAAACTAAAACAGATTTCTTTTCTGTTAAAGTATCCTGTTTGAAAATTTTAGAACTGAAAGGACTTCAGATATCATCTAGTTCAACTTTCCCACTTTATAGATGAGAAAACTGAAGTATAGAAATGTTGAGGTGGCTCTCGGACTTCCGCCAAGATGGAGGCGTAGGTGGAAGCACTACGCCTTCTTGCACAACTAAGTTTAAAAACAACAAAGTTTTAGCAACAAAAACTCAACCAAACCACAGAAAATTTAACTACACGGAAATCTGACAGCAACGAACCCTTCAGCCAAACCAGTAAGAGGGGCAGAACCAGCAGCAGAGCTGGATCGGGCAGGAAAGATCCACCGAACCAACCAGGGCATGTGACCCAGGTGCGCCAGCAGCCGTGGGCAGATCCCAGGTGTGGAGAAACGGGTGGACCCACTGAGGGCACAAGGCGGTGGACCCACTGAGGGCTGATCGCGGTCACATACACACGAAGATAAACCGGTGAAGGAGCTAGCAGTGAGATGGACCACGCAGGCCCCAGCGGCAGGAAGTGACAGGAAGCAGCACAGGGAACCACCATAGTCCCTCTCTGACCCCGCCCCCACATACAGCATCACAAACCAACAACCTTGGTAGCCCCGTCCTGGTGAACACCTAAGGCTCTGCTCCTCATACGTTACAGGCACAAACACATCAAAACATGGCTCAAGAACAACTCAGAGCCCCAGAGCCCATAACTCTAAGGAACAAAGAAATAGCCAAACTTTCAGATGCACAGTTCAAAACACCGGTGATCAGGATGCTCACAGAACTGGTTGATTTTAGTCACAAATTAGAGGAACATATGAAGGCTGAACTAATTGAAATGAATGGAAATACACAGGAAACCAACAGTAATGGAAAGGAAACTGGGACTCAAATCAAAGGAGTAGACCAGAAGGAGGGAAAAAATGACCAAAAGAAAAATGTGAAGAAACAAGAATTCAAAACAATGAGGAGAGGCTTAGGAACCTCCAGGACATCTTTAAACGTCCCAACATCCGAATTATAGGGGTACCAGAAGGGGAAGAGGAACAGCCACGGTTGGAAAACTTATTTGAACAAATAATAAAGGAGAACTTCCCCAATCTGGAAAAGGAAATAGACTTCCAGGAAATCCAGGAAGCTCAGAGAGTCCCAAAGAACTTGGACCCAAGAAGGAACACACCAAGGCACATCATCATTACATTAGTTAGCCAAGATTAAAATGGAGAGAATCCTAGATGCAGCAAGAGATAAGGGGACAGTCACCTACAAAGGACTTCCCATCAGACTGTCAGCAGATTTCTCAAAAGAGACCTTCCAGGCAAGAAGGGGCTGGAAAGAAGTATTCCAAGTCATGAAATCCAAAGACCTACATCCAAGATTGCTCTATCCAGCAAAGCTTTCATTTAGAATGGAAGGACAGATAAAGTGCTTCTCAGATAAGACCAAATTCAAGGAGTTCATCATCACCAAGCCCTTATTATATGAAATGTTAAAGGGACTTACCTAAGAAAAAGAAGAGAGAAAAGATGAACAGTGAAAGGACAGCAAACTCACAGTTATTACAACCACACCTAAAACAAAAGCAAACTAAGAGGACAGCTAGATCAGTAGCAGAACCATAGAAATGAAGATCACAGGGGAGTAGGAGGAGGAGAAGGGGGGAGAAGGTACATAAAATAAGTAGCATAGATGGTAGGTAGAAAATAGATAGGGGATAGGGCAAGAATAGTATGGGAAATATAGAATCTAAAGAACTTGAGACACGTGGTCATAAATGAAGGGGGAAGGGTGGGGGAGGGGTGTGCAGGGTGGAGGGGAATGAAGGGAGGAAATAGAACAACTGTAATGGCATAATTAATAAAATATATTTAAAAATATAAATAAATAAAAAAGTGAAAAAAAAGAAAAAAGAAATGTTGATTATCCGAGCTTAGGAAGTAGGTAGTTATAGTTAAGTACTAGAACACCAGTTTTGACCAATCTTGTGTCATCTTCTTGAAAGACCTGTTCTCGAAAGTGGCCTTAAAATTTGGCATTATCTACTAAAATAAAAACTGCACATACTTTATGATCTATCTTGGAGAAACACTTGTAGAAATCTATAAGAAATCATTGACAAGGATCTTCATTGTAGGTATTTTTGTACATTAAGGTGTAAAGTTGAAAGCAATCTAAATAACATCAACAGAGAAATAGCCATATTCACTTTATAAGAGCCATGCTATAAAATAGTATGAAGCACTTAGAAATGGACATAGTTTAATATACAGGGTCAGGTGGAAGTAAGGCTTGCTCGAGTGTGGTTGGTAGGGTAATAATATGGGCATAATAATTTCTAGTTTTAATTTGAACATTTCACCTAAAATATCATATGGTGTGCTTGAGTGTGATATTGTTATGTTACAGAATTACATACTTATGATTTTGTAATAAAAAAGGGGTGTTATTTGTACAGGACCCTGTATATGTAGTAATATGAATCTCCAAGACTGTTGAGTTGAAAAAAAAGCAATCCGCAGAAAAATACATACTGTACTGTATCCTTTTAAGACTCATTAGCCTCAGGTTCTCCCACTAAAACAATACAATTCAACTGAAGTTAAGTACATAGAAAATTTCAGAATGATTCAGAGCACACAAATAACAAGAGCTGCTTTTGTAAAGGGTGGTAGTGGATGAGGGGATCTTTGAACTTAATTGTAATGCTTTGATTTTACAAGGAGAATGCATTATTCATATATTAGTTTTGCTTTTGTTTGCCATTAAAATATTGCAAGAAAGTGGCCATGAATAATTTCTTATTTAATAAGAAACAGGGGATCAATAAGTAACTATTCTGTATCAAGGCTGATACAATACATTAACAATGAAATAAAGGCCTTTCCGAAGATTAAATGCAGAAAGCATTAAGGGCACAAGAAAACAATGGAGTACTCGCAGACAAAGGCAATACCAGTTATTAGAGGAACGACTGGGGGAGGGGAACCCTAGTTTACGCAGGAAGCTTCAGACGAAAACATTTTAGAGGCTGAGTGGGATTCTATAGGGGCGGGGCTAACTACGGTGCGCCTGCGCAACTACACTCAGGTGGCCGCCACCACGGAAGCGAAGCCACCTATTGCCGCCGCGCCGTTTGGATACTGCGCATGCGCTGGCGGACCGAGGCCCGAGTGTGCTTTGCCACCCTTGTTGCTGCAGTGTCCAGTGGATTTGAGTCTCGCGCTTTCTTCGTTCGCTCGCCGGGGCTTTTGCGCCCCTCTGGGTCTTCGGGCAGCGAGGCTGGGGAAGGGGCTGGAGGGGGCTTTTGACCGCTGCCTTTAAGTTGTGCTCGGGGCGGCCATGTCGGCCGGTGAGGTCGACCGCCTAGTGTCGGAGCTGAGCGGCGGGACCGGAGGGGATGAGGAGGAAGAGTGGCTCTATGGCGGTACGGAACTTCCTGTCCCTTCTATCTCTCCCTGGTTCTCCCAGGCCTCCCCTCCCGGCGTCAAAACGGTCGTCCTCTCGGGCCCTTCACGGCTCCGCCTGAGGCCTCTTCTACGGACCTGGTTCGGCCTAAGTCGGCCCAGCGCGGTGTGCGCGTTCCCCCGCCCGCCTCGGCCTCCTCTGGTGCAGCCCACCTCCCCAAAACGCACGCCGACAGCCGCGGCGGGGTCGAACCGGGGTCTGGGGCGCGGGGCCGGCCTCGCCCTTCGCCGGGTCTGGGTTTTTCGGCTGCCTCGCCTCCGCGCTGTTCACTCGAGGTTTTTTATATCGATCCTGACTAGTGTTGGTGTGTTTCTTCAAGCCCCTTGGCTGTAGGATGCCCGTCCTGTCCTTTTCGTTAAGCAACAGTCATTCTGTAATAGCTAATAAAGTTGATGCTGTAAAACTAACGTCTTGTTTCTTGATGATCAGTTTGTATGGAATGCACCTGCAAGGGTACCTCCTTGTCTGAAAGTCGTGCTTTAAAAATAATTAATTAAGAGAGAAAGAAAAACATGGAATACATTATGGCCCATAAAGAAAACCCCGAATGTCTCCTGTATGTATTAAGGTGACGTTTTTCTTATTTAAGAGACTGTTCTTTAATTCACATCATAAAAGTAACACATGTCTCTTAGGCTTATAGTTTTCAGTACCATTTTATGTATTTTTTAAAATAAATTTAATTATCTTGTACTTCCTTTTTTAAAGGAACTTGATTAAGCATTTGGCTTTTAGCTTTAATAAGTCACAGTCCCTTCTTGTTATAGATACTAGATTTGAAAGTTAATATTTGTTTCTTGCCAGAAATGTATATTCTTCATTGTCTTCACTCTAGTAAAAGTATATGTTTGGGCACAATGTAGCTCCATGATGATGTGACTTTGACAAACTTTGACTTTGATAAACTTGTAAAGTCATTTGTCTTTGGTGGCCAGATGTAGCATTAGTAATACTCTTTGAAATGTAATTAGGGTTTGTTTTACAAAGATATAGAAGTCTTTATACCTCTTATTTATTTTTATGGAAGTCTTAATTTTTTTTCATGAAAGACATATCTTGCTAAGTCATTACAAGGTGATCTAACTTTGGATGTGCTTATAGGCCCATGGGACGTGCATGTGCACAGTGATTTGGCAAAGGACCTAGGTTAGTGCTTGTGATGATCACTTCAGATTTTCATACTACTGGTTTCTTTAAGAGTAGTTTGTGAATTTTATTTATGTATTTATGTATTTCTTTTGGTAGATGAAAATGAAGTTGAAAGGCCAGAAGAAGAAAATACCAGGTTAGTGAAATTTCTTGTTGATGATACTTAACACAGGTAGTGTGATACAGTGGCTCTGTCAACAAATTGTCAGAATTCATTGGTTTGATTACAATGTTCTGACAAAAGGTTGGAAGGTATTGAAACTTTGGGAATTGATTCCTATTTCAGGGCCTGATTTTATACTAGTCTGTTTATTTGCTGGTATCTGAGGGGACAAAGATTTTGAAGTTAGGGTTTAACTACTTTTAAGTAATTTTTTTTACTTCTAAATGAACTAGCTTAGTAGTGAAGTATACAATATAACCATTAGACTGCCAAGAAAAAAGTTTTACGTTAAAAAGTATTTTAGAATAAATAATCTTGAATTACTCCTTTCACAATATTTCTGATGGTGTAATGCACTTGGTTTATAATTTCTGCATTTTGTGCTTATTTAAATGCAAAGGGGAATTAATGAATTCGTTGTTAGTAAGATTAGTTCACTTTGTTAGATTACTAGAAAAGTATGCATGTTGTTTATAGAACATGTACAGGGACCAGAAACTGAGTTCTAAGTTTGAAAGCAACTCATTTGTACAGGTTAATGGATATGGTGACTTTATTCTGACCAGGGGCGCTTAGCTTTTAAAGAATATTTGGGTTTAATAAGTGAAGGAAATAGTGCTTCACACCCAATAGGTTGACTGTAATAAAAAAGACAGCAACAGGTGTGGGTGTGGATATGGAGAAAATTGGAACCCCCGTTCACTGATGGTGGGATTGTAAAATGGTGCAGCTACTTTGGAAAAGTCTGGCAATTCCTTAAAAGGTTAAACAGAGTTACCATATGATCCAGGAATACCACTCATAGGTCTGTACCCTAAGAGAAATGAAAACATACATCCACACAAAATCTTGCATAGTAAGTTCTCACTTAACATCATCTATAAGTTCTCTGAATTTAGGTGAAACTACCTGAAATGAGACCAATTCTGCCATAGGCTAATTGATAGAAACAAAAGTTACAATCCTACAGATCTCATCAACATTATAAGAAAATGTCGTTTAACAAAAGGGCATTGTACAAGCACCTGCTGTATATGAACGTTCATACATTCAGCATTATTCATACAACATTATTCATAATTACCAGACAATGGAAATAACCCATGTCCATCAAATAATAAATGGATAGATAAAATGTGGTATGTTTATACAATGGAATACTATTTGGCAGTAAAAAGGAATGAATTACTGGTGTGTTACAACAAGGGTGAATGTTGAAAACATGCTAAGCAAAAGAAGCCCGTCACAAAAGAATGTGCATTATATAATTCTTTTTATATTAAATGGGCAGAACAGGTAAATCCATATAGACATCAAGTAGTTAGTGTTGGCTGGAACTGGGTATAGGACAAAATGGGAAGCGACTGATATATACAAGATTTCTTTTGCGGGTGATAAAAATTTTCTGGAATTAGATAGTAATTACTGTACTATTTTGTAAACATACTAAAAACCATTGAGTTGTACATTTCAAATGAGTGGATTGTATGATAGATTAATTATTATCTCAAAGCTGTTTACTTAAAAACAAGTGAATAGAGGGAAGAAATGAGAAGTAGAAATAGCTTTTGGGATGTTGAAATTAAGACTGTTATTCCCCACTTAAAATTCCCCAATTTGGGAAGATATTTTTTGAAACTTACTGCTATATCATCTGACACTGTATCATTGTAGTTATCATCTATCATCTGTATCATCTGACATTGTAGTTTTAAAATTTTGTATACAACCCAATTTTTTAAAAATTATTTTTATTGATTATGCCATTACAGTTGTTCTATTCCCCCCCTTCATTCCCCTCCACCCAACCTCCCCATCCCCATTACCCTCCCTTTAGTTTATGACCATGTGTCTCAAGTTCTTCAGATTCTATATTTCCCATACTATTCATGCCCCCCATCTATTTTCTATCTGTCTATGCAACTTATTTTTGTACCTTCTCCTCCCACTCCCCTGTTGCTAACCCTCCTTGAGATCTTCATTTCTATGTTTCCACTCCTGATCTAGCTGTCCTTTTAGTTTGCTTTTGTTTTAGGTATGTACAACCCAGTTTTTAAAGCTAATCTTAACCACAAAGTGAGGATTTGTGTAATTTACAGTTTGGGAGGTAATTAAATATTTCTTTATGTGCTCTTTTTCAATTGGTCAAGAAATTAATTGATAACAAGGTACAGATTCACTAAACAATTTTTTATAAGCTAATTTTTATTTCATTTTTGTTAATACTAGTTTTGGGATACAAGTCTTCAAATTTATTTTCTGATTGAACATTCTTTAATTTTAATTCCTCAATACACAGCTTGATTAAATTTATTTAAGCGGTGCCTTCTATCTTCCCTGAATATCCCTGTCAAAAATTTATATATACCTTATTCAGACTTTATTTAGGAAACTATTAAAGTTATTTCATCCTTTGGAAAAGATCTACCCTTAAGATATTATTTTTCTAGAAAATGCTTATAATTTTGTCATGTTTTTAGCATTTTAATGGTGATAGAGAATTAAAACTTTAAAAGTTTATTGGGAAAGAGAGCACCAAACCTATGTTCTAGTATCAGTGTGGTACATCATTGCATTGTCCTAAGTGACCTGAAACCTTGTTATTAGAGATTTCCTCAGTTTCTTTGTGACAAGTTCATTGTTAAAACCTCTGTTCTTAAGCATTGCATTATACTGTCTCCAGTTCTCTCATGTTTTATCTATCCATGTTTTGGCTAATACTGTTTTTGCGATATAAACAAGCTGAACTTGTTTCTGGCTGCCTAGAAGCTTATTTAAGCAGGAGGTAAAGATACTGGAAAAATACAGTTGTTGGTTTGTTTTCTTGGGTCAAGCAGGAGGACAGTGAAGTTATCAGATATGCTATCAGTTTTTATTTTTCATTTTACTTTATTTGGAGATTATATTATAAAATAGCAAGGTAGCATTTAAATTGATTTATATAGAAACCACCTAATATAGAATGAAGTTTAGAAGATAACGAAAATTTTAATGAGCTTTTTGAACTAGATCAGCATCTGGACTCTATTTATTTATTTATTTATTTTAGAAATGCTTGCTTTGTACTTGCATTTCCTTATCTATAAAATGAAGTTAATGGCTAATTCCCACTATGGAAATCATAATTATTAGAATTATAAGAAACCAATTACACTATAGTAAAAGAAGTTTTACTTGATAGTTAATGACTATATGCTTGAAAATAAGACCCTTGCAAAGAAGACATAGTAGGATAGGAATGTCTTATTGTTGCGTCATTTTTGTTGTAATGGCAAATTTAGGTATTAACTGGCCTTAAAAAAAGCAATTAGTTTCTTAACGCATCTGTCTGAGGCTGCCATTGGTATCAAATTTGAAGGCAGCCTTAAAGTTTTTATCTTAAAGTTCATTTTTTTTATACAAGGAACATATATTCAGTAAAAGTGATAAAGACCAAAAGCCTGGCAGGGGCACGTGTATTAATTGCATACTAACTAAATGGTTATGTGATCATATTACAAATATGAAAAGAAGAAACTGTTACATAGTCCTTTGCCACATACTAATTACAATAGTATGTGGCATATAGCGGATGTTTAATAAATATTTAGGATAAGTGAAATTGATTAAGTGGGAAGCATATTTTAAAAACGTAAAAAAAACCCTTTCAATGGTACCCCACCATCAGATTGCAAATTTGACATCATTAATAAATTGTGGAGCAGTTACATTCTATTTCTAATGTTGACTGCATGCTTTATGTGAGGCATCAGGAATAGACAGGTAGGTCGTTTTTACCATCCATTTTCTTACCATCCAATGGAAACAATTTTAGAAAATTATCAGACATAGCTTAAAAGTACCAATATACACCATCGGTACTTCTGAAAAGTAATACTAGGCATGTGTATTTTTGTTTGTAGTGCTAATAATCCTCCATCTGGAGCTGAAGATGAAACTGCTGAAAATGGAGTACCTAAACCGGTAACCATAAGGCTTCAAAATCTAGTTACTTCTCTGTTTAAAATCTGTATTGATAGTTTTGTGTGCACTTAGGAATAAAGCTAAAATTTAATATGGCTTTCAGTATCCTGCTTGATCTGCCCCCCCCCCCCCTTACATCGCCTACCTCATCTGGTGCCATGGAAAGCATAGTGAAGAGAAGGAGTAGAAAGATTCAGATGAAATAGGGCATGTGCGAAGGTTTGAGGTTTATTTCAAGGAACTGAATGGTCATAGATCAACAAAACAGGACATACCCTGATTTTCGAAGCAGACATTTCAGTCTTGTGAAGTGCGAGTTGGATCGTCATCATTTTTAGGGGAAAAATAGTTTGTGAGTGACAGTCTTTGACCTCATACCTGTTAAAAGTGATATTTTGGAGGTGTATGAACTTAGTATGAGTCCTATGGCTGTTTTGAACATTCTAACCCTGTAAAAAGAGAAAGAAATTGTTATCCTGCAATTTTGAATTTATATACAGAAATTATTTTTGTCTAGGTGTTCTACTTTTTAAATTTACTATTATGTGACTGAGCACTAAGTAGCATTTTAGAGCCAAAACAAAACCTTTGTAAATGGCCCTACTTTTACTCATAGAAACAAAGTATTCCCTCAGCCATTTGCATGTAGAACCCCTTTTAGGTGTAAATGAATTCTAAGAATAAGTAAGCTGCTTTTTAATTAACCATGACACTGTGAATCTTAAAATTAATTGTTTTCCTCTTCATATTCTTTTCACCAAGAATTTTTGAAATACTTTTTGTAATTTTATCTTCATTTTTTAAAGAGTTTATTTATTTTTAGAGGGGAAGGGAAGGAGAAAGAGAGGGAGAGAAACATTAGTGTGTGGTTGCCTCTCAAGTGTGCCCCAAACTGGGGTACCTGACCCACAACTCAGGCTTGTGCCGTGACTGGGAATCGAACCAGTGACCTTTTGATTCACAGGCCTTCGCTCAATCCACTGAGCTACACCAGCCAGGGCTTATCTTCTCTTAGTAAATTACTTTAGACCATGTTTGCCAGAGGAGCAGCTATAAATAGTAGGGAAAAACATCGGGTATTTGTAAGGATGATGGTGAAAAGTTTTCACATTCTTATTTTTTCCTATCATGTAAAAACAGTGAATGAAGTAAGTAGTATTTCTGTGAGCTAGTAACTTTTCTGTAAAACTGTAGCTTAATTGCAAAATGAATACTTCAGTTATTCGTATTAGATATTGAAATGGATCATTGAATGTATTTTTAAATTGTTTATGTTGGTATAGAAAGTGACCGAGACTGAAGATGATAGTGATAGTGACAGTGATGATGATGAGGATGATGTTCATGTCACTATAGGAGATATTAAAACAGGAGCACCACAGTATGGGTAAGTTATTTTTAAGTAACGATTGTGTGACTAAATTATAGATAGTAATGCCTGTGTTAAACTGTTAGTGTTTGATTCCATTGTTTTTACGTTTTTTCATCTTACCATGATATGTATGAGAGAACTCTTGTTAAAATTTTACCTGAGAGTAGATGTTAAAAAGTCTTACCACAAGGGGGATAAAACATTTGTAACTATGTATGGTAATGTACGAGGTCTGTCCAGAAACTACCCAGCCACATAATATGCAAAATAGAGCCATTTGTTGAAGAAGAAGCATCATACATAGGACAGTGATGACTTAATCCCCTTCAATTTAGGCACTTTCGGACCGCACACAGTTCTCCCAATTGCTATTAGCTACCCCCTCATATTCTCCTGAATCTCATGATGGTCTGAAATCTCTTCCCTTTCTTTTTTTTTTTTTTAATTTATTTATTTTTTAAAATTGATTATGCTGTTACAGTTGTTCTATTCCCCCCTTCATTCCCCTCCACCCTACCCCCCCAACCCCACCATTACCCCCCTTTAGTTTATGTCCATGTGTCTCAAGTCCTTTAGGTTCTATATTTCCCATGTTATTCTTGCCCCCCCATCTATTTTCTATCTACTGTCTATGCTACTTATTTTCTGTACCTTCTCCCCCCATCCCCTCCTCCCACTCCCCTGTTGCTAACCCTCCTTGAGATCTTCATTTCTATGTTTCCACTCCTGATCTAGCTGTTCTTTTAGTTTGCTTTCGTTTTAGGTGTGGTTGTTAATAACTGTGAGCTTGTTGTTCTTTCACTGTTCGTGTTTCTTTAACTTCTTTTTCTTAGATAAGTCCCTTTAACATTTCATATAATAAGGGCTTGGTGATGATGAACTCCTTGAATTTGATCTTATCTGAGAAGCACCTTATCTGTCCTTCCATTCTAAATGAAAGTTTTGCTGGATAGAGCAATCTTGGTTGTAGGTCTTTAGATTTCATGACTTGGAATATTTCTTTCCAGCCCCTTCTTGCCTGTAAGGTCTCTTTTGAGAAATCTGCTGACAGTCTGATGGGAACTCCTTTGTAGGTGATTGTCCCCTTAGCTCTTGCTGCTTCTAGGATTCTCTCCTTCATTTTAATTTTGGCTAATGTAATTATGATATGCCTTGGTGTGTTTCTTCTTGAGTCCAACTTTTTTGGTACTCTCTGGGCTTCTTGGATTTCTTGGAAGTCTATTTCCTTGGCCAGATTGGGGAAATTTTCTTTTATTATTTGTTCAAATAGTTTTTCCACTGGTGGTTGTGTCTTTCCCCCTTCTGGTACCCCTATAATTCGGATATTGGAGCGTTTAAAGATGTCCTGGAGGTTCCTAAGACTCTCCTCATTTCTTTGAATTCTTGCTCCTTGACTCTTTTCTGTTTGGCCATTATTTGGTTTCCTCTGGTCCACTCCATTGATTTGAGTCCCAGTTTCCTTTTCATCTCTATGGGTTTCCTGTGGAATTCCATTCATTTCCCTTAATTTAGCCTTCATATGTTTCTCTAATTTGTGGCTATAATCAACCAGATCTGTGAGGAAGCTGATGACCAGTGTTTTAAACTGTGCGTCTGAGAGTTTTGCTATTTCTTGGTCGCTTAGATTTATCTGTGGGGCTTTGAGGTTTTCCTGCGACATTTTTGGTCTGTTCTGGCCCTTTAAGGGCGCCTTGGAGTCCCAGGTCGCTTGGTTGTGACGCTGTATGTGGGGGCGTGGTCAGAGCGGGGAAATGGCGGCGCCCTCTATCGCCTTGGCCGCCGTCTATCGCCGTCGCTGCCGGTCCAACCGCCCACTCCCTCGCTCGCGCGCAATTAGGCAACCGCCGTCAACACGCTGCACCGCCTCCCCACTGTCTCCTCTACAGTCGCTCACCCGGTGGGTTGCTTGGTCGCTCACTAGGTCCAATCCTGGGTTTGGAACCCGTGCGTCTGGATTCGCGCGTCTGGAATCCGCGCCCGGGTCCGACCGAGCCCTCCTTTGTAACTCCTCACCAGACGCCGGTTTCGCCCCTTACCGGTCGGGCTGAAGAATTTGTTGTTAGCGGACTTCCGAAAAGTTCAGTTTTCCGTGTTCTGGTTGTGTTTTCTGATGCTAATATTTAGTTGTCCTTAAACTTGGTTGTGTGAGGAGGCACGGGACATCCACCTAAACCTCCATCTTGGCGGAAGTCCTGAAATCTCTTCCCTTTCAAAGGTGATTTTAGTTTTGGGAAAAGCCAGAAGTCACAGGGTACCAAATCTGGGCTGTAGCAGGACTGGGTCACCTGGGTGATTTGATATTTATTGTCAGAATCTGCACAAGACGTGATGCATGAGCAGGCTTGTTGTCATCATGAAGTTGCCAATCACCAGTTGTCCGTAGCTTTGGCCTTCTGAGTCATCTGAATAGTTTCCACCGTGAAATGTTTGAACTCAACTCAAAATTAGATTCAGATTCATTGCTCTACTCACTTAGTCATTTGAGGGCCACACAGTACCCATGTTCACTCAATGGCATCTTCCACCCCAACTGACCAATACAGTGAAGTCGTCATTGTTCACGCATGTGCATTCCAGTCCACTCTTCTGGGCTGCTTGGTTACAATGATGTAGCACAAACTGTTATTGTTATATTAACAATGGTTGGACTTTTTCTGGACAGACCTCATGTGTTAACTAAACTTTGCAATTTAAATATATATCAAATTGTTATGTTTTACACCTAAAATTAATACAATGTTATATTTTAATTACAGCTCATGATAAAAGATTTCTTCATCAAATATTTCTTAAAGATAATTAAGTAAAGTTATATGGAAGCAGCAATATTTTTGATTCCTAAAATTAAAGTGTTTTATAAATGAATTGATAAAAGATTTTTTTTAGTTAGAATTAGAAAACCTTAAATTGCAGTTTGTATCTGTAGTGTTCTGCGATTTTATTACTTATCCAAGCCTGAGTGACAGACTTAAAATTAGTTTTTTTCTAAAATCTGTGGGTCACTGTCAGTTTATTCAGTTACTTTGTAGGTGTGCAATTTACTTGTACACATTGAATATATTACTGGGTTTGTTTATAATTTTTATCTTGTTTTTAGGAGTTATGGTACAGCACCTGTAAATCTTAACATAAAGACGGGAGGAAGAGTTTATGGAACCACAGGTAAAATTTTTATTTGCAAGTGCATCAGTAGGGAAATAAGGCATATATCTGAATAGGTGATAACTACATTATAATAACTATTACAGCTAATTAAAAATCACTTTGACCATATATCACAGAACTAGCTAATAAATATTTTAGGCTGTTTCAGCCACATAGGGTTCCTGTTATGGTGTTTTGTTTGTTTGGTTTTTACTTGTCTTATAGCCCTTTAAAAAAGTAAAAATGTTTCTTAGCTTATAGACTGTCCGGAAACTGAATTAAAGCGGGGAAGTTAGCAACTTCCTAATGGTACAGGAATCCCATATTGTAAGTAACAAGTCCCTAACCTCTCCATTTTATCTTACAGCTGTACCATAAGGTTTGACCTTACCTTTTATGTATGGTAAACATGAATGTTTTGTTTGGAACCTTTGCCATATATAGTGCTAGGAACAGTAAAAAAAATGTCAGTGTTTTCTGTTTGTTATCATCTCTCTCAGCTTCTTGCTAATGTAGCTCTTCACTATTTTGTAATTTTATGAAATAGGAACAAAAGTCAAAGGGGTAGACCTTGATGCACCTGGAAGCATTAATGGAGTTCCACTCTTGGAGGTAGATTTGGATTCTTTTGAAGATAAACCATGGCGTAAACCTGGTAAGGTTATTGTAGATTGTATCAGTTTTAAGAGATTTATAGTGTAAACAATTATCAGAAAAGTATTTTTCACCAACAGTTTATTATTGTTTTAATGTCGTTTTGTAGTCTTAAATGCATGAAAGTAATAATGAGTTAATATAATAAATTAATCATTGATAACAAATTTATTGAATCTTGCTGGTGGCCTAGCATTCTATTAAAATAGACATGCATGTTATTTTTATGATAATGCATTTCTGAAGGAAATAATTTTGATCAAAAATTTATATAATTCTCTGGTAATTGGGAGAACTCGTAAAATTAGAAGGGGTGATGAGATTAATAGAACTCTATATTTTATACTTCATAGTATTTTATATACTGCATACAAATAGAATTGAAATATTTGTACACTAAAAACATTTTTTTATCTTTAGGTGCTGATCTTTCTGATTATTTTAATTATGGCTTTAATGAAGATACCTGGAAAGCTTACTGTGAAAAACAGAAGAGGATACGAATGGGACTTGAAGTTATACCAGTTACCTCGACTACAAATAAAATTACGGTAATTAATAGATATTCCAGAATACCCCTGTCTTTTTCTACTGTCCCAGTTTTATTTCCCAATTAAATTACTTTTTTCTGTAAAGGTGGTTAAAAACTATATGATATTTAAAAATTTCATTCTTTTTTATTATGTTTGTGTTTCTTCCCTCCTTCCTTTTCAGTTTCATATTAATGATTTTCTGATGTTCTTAGTTTCAAGTCACAGACTAGCCACAGCTAGTCTTTATATGGCCTATCAATTAAAAAATTATGTTATTTAACTTAGGCCGAAGACTGTACTATGGAAGTTACACCAGGTGCAGAGATCCAAGATGGCAGATTCAATCTTTTTAAGGTGAATTTTAGTAAATTATCCTTGGTTGCTCTCATTTTTTGTTCTTGAGTCTGCTTCCATACCACTACTCAAGGGACAAGATTAAAGTGGAAATAGCTATCTTTTTTCCAAACCTTCAGCTTCCTGGTGACTTACAAATTTGCTGATTGTTGTTTTATCACCACTTTGCAAGCATGTGAATTTATAGCCTATTATACTAACAAATGCCAGTAAAACTATTCTTGCTATATGTTGTGACTTTGAGTCATAGTATGTTTGTAGGATATGAAAGTTCATGCCAACAGGTTGAGTTCTTATTGTAGATCGTGCTGTAATCTTTATCAGAATTAAGGATTCATTTTTCCTAATTTTCTTTTTAAAAAGGATAAGGAAGATGGCTTACTATCTGTATGGCCCTGAAATTATTGGTGTGGTTTAAGATAGCTCAAGAACCTTAGGCATCCTTTGAGAGTCTTTCAGGAAGACTCAACAAAATAGGATAAAGCCATTGATTTTTAAGTTAATACTTTAAAAAGGAGTAGGTTTAGTGAGGGACTTGCAGGTTGATATTATCACTTATGTATCAAGTCTGATTTTTGGCTTCTCCATTTCATATACTCACAGACCAGTCCAAAGAATAATATGTTTTCATACTTCTGTGATACATAGCAACCTACTCTTCCCGAAACCTTATTGTGTACTCTTTCTTTATCTTAATTCTTAATTTTGAGGCTAACACTGAAGGACACTGGGATGAAGACTGGGAGTGACTTTTAGATGGATTTGTATATTTAGGAACTTAGGTGGGCAGGAACTCTTCTGTGCCCCTTTTAGGACTGCAGCTCTGTCTGCTGAAATACTGCCTTATGCAGTGCATGTGCTGTATCCACAGACGTAGCTGCTCTGCTGGGCACAATTCTGTATAGAGAATTCAATTTTAATTTACATCGTACTCTGGGTATTTGGTTCTTGTTCTGCTGTAACTTTTAAAAGTGCGTAGTGACGTTTTTCATATTTTTAATGCTTACCAGGTTCTTTTTGGTGATATCTGCTTATTTAGATGTTCAACATATTGCTATACATGATTACAATGAATAGAAAAGTTCTTTTGATAATGAAAGAGTTTATTTGCAGTGGTACTTTGTATTTTCTGCCAACAGAGATGAGAACTTACTTTGTAAACTGGCAGCTTCTGTATGCATTGTCTTTTTGCAGTGAACTTCTTAAACTAAAAAATAAAGAAACTTCCAGGGACTGGTCTCTTATTGAAGGTAGACATTGTGAATGAGTTTTTTAATACACATACTGAATATTGAAAAATTATTTTTGAAGTTTCTTTTGGTTATATGAGAGAAGGTCATTGTTTAATTCTGATTTATTTGATTTTGAATGAATTAAGAGCATGAATTCGATGGTTGTAGTCTAATGGTTTTGCCTCAGTAATGTGGTTAAATATTACCTGTTTGAAATAAATAGGATGTGCATTTTAATGTGTGGCTCACATTTCTTCTTTACGTATTTGTGGTCTGTAGGATATATATTATTGATAATGCTCAAAATCTGCAACTAATGGTATGTGGCAGTGTTTGGCATTTTTAGGCTACAATTTAATTTGCACTGTATTTCAGAAAAGTTTCTGTCACCTTAAATTTAAGAAATAATCCTTGCCCTGGCTGGGTGACTCAGTTGGTGGGAGTATTGTCCCATACACCGAAAAGTTCTGGGTTTGGTCCCTGTCAGGGCACGTACCTAGGCTGTAGGTTCTATCCCAGATCAGGGTGCATATGGGAGATGACCAGTTGATGTGTCTCTCTCTCCTTCTTTGTCTCACTCCTCCTTCCTTGTCTCTTTCTTTCTCCCTCTTTCTTCCCTCCTTCCCTTTAGTCCCCACTCCCTGCCTTATAAAATCAATAGAAAATATCCTCTGGTGAGGAATTTTTTTTTTTAATTCTTGTTGGCCCTCGGCCATGTAGTTCATTTGGTTAGAGCATCGTCCCTGTATGCTAACGTTGCAGGTTCAGTCCCTGGTCTTGGCACATGGAAGAGTCAACCAATCAAAGCATTAATGGATGGGAGAACAAATCAATGTTTCTCTCTCTTTCCCACTTTCTAAAATTAATAAATTTTTTAAAAAGAAAAAATATTTCTTTAGATTTCTGTGGGATTCTTTTTGAAAAAGTACTAGTTGTCCGTTTTACTGTCCTGCAACTATGGAGAGTACAAAAGAATATAGTGATGTAACTGGTATCCCAAATATGCAGAGATACATTTCTTAAGTGTTAAATGCTAAAATGTGTATTTTAGACAAAATGCTATAGAAATTGAGAGGTAATTAGAAATTATTTTGTAACTAGAAATTACATTGGGTGTTATATAGGTTCATTCTACTTTTTTTTTAAGTCTAAAGTAGGCTGCAGTAGTAGAGAAGCATATGCCATTTTATTCAGAGCCTTGAGAGTGTGGAGAAGAGAAAAGATGTGTTGCAGCTTGAGGCCATGGCTTGGTCAAAGAGACTCCTCTCTCAGGAAACATCATGGGTATTGGTACCTTGTAGGTGTAAAAAAAACTGACCACAAGCTTCTGTAGTATTTTCTTTAATTATTTTGTAACTTACTTTCTGCTTTCTTTTGCCTTCTGGTTCCTATATTCAAATAATAGCTTTTATGCTTTTTTTTTAAATTATTTTTTTCTCTTACGTTCCATATCTTTCTTCCATTTTCTGATTTCTTATAGGCCTTCAGTTTTTCATTTCTGCTATTATATTTTTAATAGCCAAGGAGATTTGTTTTTAATATTTAACTGTAGCATCCGATTCTTGTTTATGCATGTGGTGATGCAATATTTTCCCCCCTTCTTTCAAAAGATAATAGTAGTATTTTTATTCCCCTGCCATAGTCTGTTTTCTTCAAGTTGATGTTTTAAGTTTATTGTTTTTGGCTTTTCTCAAATGTTTGTTAATCCTCGGCCATTCGTTCAGTCATGAGAGAAGCCACCAGAAGGTGATCAGTAGCTCTGCACATGAGTACCACTGCCTGGCCGCCAGCTTTACTGTAGGCATAAGCTTTTTTCATAGTCCCTGATTTCAGTATCTTTAGGTGGTTTTACTTTTTGTTATTTTCTTTTTTGTGGTTATCTGATTTTTTCAGAGAAGACATTCAATATCTTATCTAGAGGATTGATACTTGGCTGATTTGAATGTTGCCAATTTCTGAACCTTTGGGACCCTGTCATGAAAATTAAGTGTCTTTGCTTTGTAATTGCTGATTTAGGATTCAAGTTTCGTTGGTTTGCTAAATCAGTTACTATTTTTTTTAAAGATTTTATGTATTTATCTTTAGAGGGGAAGGGAAGGAGAAGAGAGAAATATCAATGTATGTTTTCATCTCTTGTGTCCCTTGCTGGTAACTGACCTGCAACCCAGGCATGTACCCTGACTGGGAATCGAACCACCATTCTTTGGTTCGCAGGCCTGTGCTCAATCCACTGAGCTACGCCATCCAGGGCCAGGTACTGTTTTTTCGTCCACTTTCAAAGCCCTGTATTTTGTTGCTTTCACAATCTTTTTGTTCTTGTGGGTTGAAACAAAATTGTGGAATTAATTTATATTTTTTTTACTTTTTCTTTTTTCACCTTAAATTATATGTCAAGTGGTTTCCTAGGTTATTAATGGTTTTTGAGATCTAGCTGGTATGGCTAAGTGGACAGAAAGCCAACTTGTGAACCAAAGGGCTGCTGGTTTGATTCCTAGTCAGGGCACATGCCTGGGTTGCGGGTCAGGTTCCCAGTTCTGGGCACTGGAGAGGCAACCACACATTGATGTTTCTCTCCCTTTCTTTCTCCCTCCCTTCCCCTCTCTAAAAATAAATAAATAAAAAATTTTAAAATAGTGTTTTGATAAATAGCACTTTAAATAGTTCATAATCCATTATTTTTCTATGCCACAATTATCAAATTTCTTTTTAGACATTTTGTTTGTAATGTCAGCCTTTTATAAATAATGGCATAAAGGGCAGCTGAAGGAAATTTCACAAAATTAAGTTTTGATACAGTGGTAGCATAATTCAGTCTCAGGTTTATAGACTTCAGTTAACTTTTGTTTGGATATGTAAGGTCTGACATGAATTTGTTTTTAGAAAACCAGTCACATTGTTTTACAGTTACTTCTTAAAATACTAGATCATGTGAAAAAAATAGTCTGTGTTCCGATTAAACAAATTTTGAGTCTGTGTAATCGCGAGTGCAACATCTGAAGACAATCAAGTGGGTAATGATAATGGAAGTTGGTTACAAGGGTTGCTGAAAGGGTGAGGGTTTTCAAAATTGTCTGATATGATGAATATATTATGAAGAAATGAAGAAGAAAAGAAAACCGAGGAAACACAGGCAATTTTTATGTTTTTTTCATTTTTATTTGATTGATTATGCCATTACAGTTGTTCTATTCCCCCCTTCATTCCCCTCCACCCCCATCATTCCTGCTCTTTTTTAGTTCATGACCATGTGTCTCAAGTTCTTTAGATTCTATATTTCTCATACTATTCTTGCCCTCCCCCCTATTTATTTTCTACCTACCGTCTATGCTACTTATTTTCTGTACCTTCTCCCCCCTTTTCCTCCTCCCACTCCCCTGTTGCTAACCCTCCATGTGATCTTCATTTCTATGTTTCCGCTCCTGATCTAGCTGTCCTTTTAGTTTGCTTTTGTTTTAGATGTGGTGGTTAATAACTGTGAGTTTGCTGTCCTTTCACTGTTCATCTTTTTTATCTTCTTTTTCTTAGGTAAGTCCCTTTAACATTTTATATAATAAGGGCTTGGTGATGATGAACTCCTTGAATTTGACCTTATCTGAGAAGCACTTTATCTGTCCTTCCATTCTAAATGAAAGCTTTGCTGGATAGTGCAATCTTGGATGTAGGTCTTTGGATTTTATGACTTGGAATACTTCTTTCCAGCCCCTTCTTGCCTGGAAGGTCTCTTTTGAGAAATCTGCTGACAGTCTGATGGGAAGTCCTTTGTAGGTG